GAAAAGAAAAGAAAAGAAAAGAAAAGAAAAGAAGAGAAAAGAAAAGAAAAGAAAATGCTTGCCTGCTTAAACTATATTGACTTCAGAATTTCTGGAAAAAGAATCACATTTTCCTTCTCTGGCACCTTGCCTTCAGGGAATGAGAACTGGAAATCGTGAACATTATTTTTCCAAGCTCCAAACAGAGAGTGGAAATATATGCAAAGGCAGTGAGAAAAAGATAGTAGACTGACTCTTTCATACATGCCAAATGGATAAACCCCAAAGGGAAGCAAAGTTTTTGAGTTGGGATGGACCAATGGATGACTTCATGTCATAGTTCACTCTCCAAATAGCATTATCCAGCTGGAAATTTATTAAGAGAACTTTGGATTAGTATGACCAAGTATCTTAGCTGGCAAGTGTATCAAATGCAATTTGCCAAATGCCAACTGATTGTCAGACCAAATATGTTAATATGTAAAGACAGTTGGGCATCAAAACAAAAACAAAAGCAAACAAATTAAAAAATCAAGTAGTATGGTAAGGAAATAGAACACAAAAGGAATTACCTCCTCAAGTAGTCCCTTCCTAACCAAAGAGATGAATACACACAAGAACATACAACTTAACTATACAACTTAGTTTAGTGAAAAGGCTAAATAGAAAAACACAGCTGCTTTTGCATTTTCAGAGCGGAAAGGAATAACACCAGGTGCCTGGTATTACATTGGACTTTCCTCTTTGGTTGAGTACACACCATCATCAAGAACGTCATAGAAGTTCTGGAAATAAGAGACTGATAATTGAATTGCATTGAATACAAGAGAGATTTTACAAGCTATATAAGCAAGCAACTCTTCAAAAATCTTTAAAAAAAAAAAAAAAAAGTGACTCAAGCAGGATCCTAAGAAGAAACCACTTTCTTTTTATCTGTAGACCTCATTCAGGACTTTGGAAATACTGGCTTTAAATAAAGACTTATCTTCCCCCCAAACTAAGCACCGGCTTATAGTTTTCTTGGCATGCAATCATGAATTCGTACTTGAATCCCTGTATTTATTTGCAGTATATTCGTTAGCAATAATCACATTTCATATTTTATTATTATTTGATCTGAAACTTTTTATCTAGCCTTCCAAGATCAAACTCTTGCTATTCCTTTCTGTTACTCAACTTTATCTGGAGGACACTTTCTACCTTTAGACATTTTTTTCTCTTGTTTTTCAGTCCTATGTCCATCCTGAAGTGTCTTTATTATTTTGGCATCTTAAAAACCCACCCTTTTCTAGTCACTTTTACCATGTTTTATTTGCCTCAGTTTTAATAATTGTCCTCTTCCTTTCTGTCCGAGGTTATATACAAACAAGATAGGTTTCAGGTGAAAATAAATCATTAGTTACATGAAAGAAATGTAAATTCTATGTTTATTATAACCTAAATTCTATAAATGTGGAAATGATGATGATCTTAAACCAAATGCCATATTTTTATTAATTCTATAAATGTGGAAATGATGATGATCTTTAACTAAATACCATATTTTTATTTTTTTTTTTGCCTAAAATTTATTTTGGCAATAAATCTAGGAGACTTTACATTTTTTGTATCTTTGAAAATATGACTCTCTTTTAGCACTTTACCAATTTTATTTACAGCATTTGCATCCCTTTGTTCCTACATGAATATAAAGTCATTGAATAAAGACTATTCAAATTTTTAAACTAGCCAAGTTATAGGCTATAATTAATCCTGAATTGTTAAAACTTATTCTAAATTAAGGAAAAGATGTCCCAAAAGATAATAACTTCATGATAATGCTACTTAGTAGGCTGTAAATTTATAAAATTTAAATTTCTATGTATTAATAGCTATTCATATTTTTCTAATAATTGAATTAAGGCAAAAGCTGGGGATGAAGAATGTTGATCAGCTTTCTTCATATAAGTATGTAAACCATTTAGTTTCCACAGTTCTTGAATAGATTTTACCTGATTCCAAATGACTAAAACAAAGCGATTATATCTTACCTTATAAAGTTTGTCAAACAGGAATTATAGACTGCTTGAATAAATACTCACAGCAAGGAATATGGTTAGGGATGTAGTTAGCTATGTAATATTGTTCTGTTCTGTGGGTAACGAAAATTGCCTTCACGTTGGATCTTTTGCAATCTTTTATTCATGTCTATCAGACTGAGTTAAAGCACAAGTGGTCAGGCATTTGGCCAGGGGTTAAAATGTGGGTGGGAATCAGTCAGCAATTTAAAGGAACAGTGTTGTTCAAAGCCAGATTGTGTTTTCCAAACTACTGTAAGAACACTTGAGCAAATTTTCTACATTTTAATCATGTACTGATAGCATGCCTTTGTTTTTTATGCTACATCCTTCTCCTTTTATTCTTATATTTCTTTGCCTAGGGGATGCTGTCTAAAACATTGGTTCTAAACAGCTGTGTGAAGAAGTATAAATGACATCAGACTCATATTCAAAACTAGTTTTTCAAGGGAGGTAACAAGGTGATGATATTGAAGTTAGATGATGAGTATACACAGGTTCATTATTTTCATCTCTCTGTGATATCTAAAATTTTTCCTAATGAGAAGTATATATAATACAAAGCAAAAGAGTGGCCTGTGTTTAGTCCTGGTTCAGCTCCTAACCTCTATACAGGCCTGAGTTTCCCAGTTATGCAATAAGAGGGTAGATTTCATTATTTATTAAAAATTCTTTCAAATTATAACATGAGAGGTAGCTTTACAATGGTCAACATTTTGATATGTCTTTTGAGAAAGGAAGTCACTGTGGTTGTCCCATTCTTTTTCCTATTTTCTACCTTGTGGTTATAGCCCATATTAAGTCAGTATATAGCCATGCAAAATGTACTACCAACTCCAGGAGAAAGGAAATAATAAAGATACGAGCAGAAATAAATGAAATAGAAAATAAACGAACTATACAGAAAATAAATGAAAGTAAAAGCTGGTTCTTTGAAAAGATAAACAAAACTGATACACCACTAGCGAGACTTATTAAGAAGAAGAGAGAAAAGAACCAGGTGAATCAGATCTGCAATGAAGCAGGCAAAATAACAACAGACATAGTAGAAATAAAAAACATTATTAGAGGATACTATGAACATCTGTATGCCAAGAAACAAGATAATTTGGATGAGATGGACAAATTCCTGGACATGTATAATCTACCTAGATTGAGCCAGGAGGATATAGAAAGTCTGAATAGGTCCATAACAAGCCAGGAGATCAAATCAGTTAAAAATAACCTCCCAACAAAGAAAAGCCCTGGCCCTGATGGATTCACCTCTGAATTCTACAAAATTTTCAAAGAAGA